GGGAAGCAAGTGGAGGGCACATGTTCTTTCTGAAGTTCATGTCCAGGCATCTGGAAGCTGGGGTTGCTGTGGCATCCCAGAGGACAGGTACCTCCTGCCTTTCACTGTCAGCTACCAGATAAAGAGAGAGTAAGGTCAGAGCGTGCCCTTTCCCAACTCAGATGTGGCCCAAAGCTGTCCTACATGGCAGGCTTCCTGAGAGTCATAAGGCACACCTACTAGTCTCTTCATCTCCACTCCTTTATGATGCTAAGCCCACATCAGAATTAAAGGAAATGCTGTTGACAATTATAAAATGCTAAATACAGCTCAGTACATTTAAAAATGAACAATGGTAGAAGCCTTGAAAATTTTTTCTTTGATGTGAATGGAGTCTTTGGCATTTGGAAATACAATAAGATGAATTAATTGCTACTCATTAGGCGGCAAGTCAGAAGAAGTATGAATGTGCCTTCTCTCCTCCACATTAGCTGCTGCCTGACCAGAAAAGCTCTCTTTTGTATTTACTCCTGCCTTCTCTAATAATAAGCAAATGAGAGGTCATGGCTAGAAAAAATTCAAGCGCCCTTCATCCTTTCTCCAAAACCATCATATAGTTGGGTGATGTTTATCCATTCAAGGGATCTGGCTAATAATTACAGAGATTATGTGAATTCAGATAGTACAGGATTAGAAACAACATCTGCAAAATTACTTCTCAGGGAGATATTTTATGTTTTGTTTTTCTCTGAAAAAGTAATCTTTAAGCCAATGCTATCTTTTCAGCCATGCATCATATTTTTATATTGATGCAGGAGGTATGTTTTGGAGGAAAACATGAATAGCTATCAAAGAGTTTTTGAATCCATGGTCTTTTTTAACTTTATGTTTTTGCTGATATATTGGAAAACATCCTTATGAATAAGTTAAATTGGAATCCAGCTTCTGGAATGATAGCACTTTAATAAACTGGATTATGTTGATTTTTGTGTGCTGTTCATCGACATTCTGTGTATGGCCGCTATGATGTGTTGTATTTGCAAGCATGTGACCTTTGTATGTTACCTTTATAATTTGCCTGTGGTTAATGCCTAACAAGTAAGAGATGATTGATTTCACAGAATAATTAAAAGCCTGGGAAGCGGGGGGGAGAAAGGATAAGAACCATATGATATCCGGAGTCTGATCCTTAAGATACTCTGGAGTTCTGAAAGCACCCTGTTCCTTCCATGTGTCTTTGTGCTGGTACTGTCTTACAGATATTTTCCAGACATTGTGTCCATTTCAGTCATAAAGAGAAGGCAGTTAGCAGAACGGAGTTGTAGCAGCGTCCTTGCCTTGCTTCATGAAATATAAAAGCCTGTTTACTTAGTAACAATAGCAATTTGAAAGGCTCCAGGCTGAGGAGTTTATGCCTGACACAGCCTGCTGGACCGCACGGCCAGGGCAGTGAGGCTGTTGATGGTTTGGTGTGTCAGAAATTGGATTGTGAGGAAAACAGAGTAGGTAATAAGACATGCACCTCGAGTCAGAGCGCTTTGTCTGCCCGCATCCTCGTGTCTGTAGGACCATTTGTTCTCAGCACCCATCCCTCCTCCTCTGGGGTCCACAGTCACAGGACTCACAATTCCTCCTCCATACATATTTTCCTTATTGCAGGTCAAGGGCTCAAGTTGGGGTTCAGTTAGAACAGGGAGACTTGCCCTCTCTCCCTGTCACCTACCTCATCCCCAAATACTCGGCTCTTTGTGGCTTCATTCCTTCTAGTCTTAGAGATAGAGGGACTTAAAGTCAGTGAGAAGGAGGCAGTGTAAACTTGTCCAAGCTTTTTTCTAGAACATATTTTTCGTCTGCTGCTCTTATGTCTGTGTACCTTACACCTCCTTTTTCTCCTGTAATATAAGACGTTGTACAGCATAACTCAATATTGACTTAATAGCAGTTTTTCAAGATAAAGCAACGTGCTCATCCTTTGTAAATTTCACCCACATCTCAGAAATGTTGGTGAGACTAAATCTTAAAATTAAATTGGTGTACAAGGATAGTACATGTTTTTAGTTGTGTTTAAGCTTCACTATTGGCTAGATTGGCCCCCAGCCCTTTAGCGTGGGGATAAGAGGAGAAAATGGAGTAGAATGTGTGAAAGGCCAGGATAGCAGACCAGAGTGACACAGAGAAGCAATTTACTCAGGTCTGACACTTACAGTTATAATTTTTCCAAACCCAGGCATATATCTCTGGGCTGAAAGTGACAATTGAGAGATCTGTCCATTGAAATCTCTTAACTCTGCATCCTTTCTAACTCCCATTTCAGGATAAGTGGGTCTGCGGCCACGCTCTCAGTTCTGATTTCCAGATAATCCTGGTGGTGCTTATTATCTACCTTCAAGGTTGCTTTAGATTTCAAACAACAAAAAAATATTAATCTTCTTAATGTTCACATGTATATCATAGATGAAGAGGCCACACTATATAATTAAGTGAATAGAGTAGTTCCTCTACAAAAGGTGAGAAATCATTGGTATAGACATTTTAGTCCATTTGCAGAAAATTACCTATTCTCAGATAGGTAGGTCAAGTGCAGAAAGAACCACTACTTGAGATAAAATTTTCTTTCCACACTCAGCTTTGTCTTTTATCAGGACAGGCAGCTAAGAGCTGCCCACATTTTAAACATCCTGCTGTCTTCCCACTAGTAATTTCCTTGGCTATATATTAAGACGCTTTTGTTTTATAAAAGACCTCACCCTTGTTGCTACAAATACTTTTAAAACTGAAAGGACATTAGAGAATATGCTGTGACTCCTTATTTGGCAGATGAAGGAAATTAGAGGGTGGTGAAACTCGCGCACAGTAACACAGAACATGCGTGTCAGACAGGGCAGGTTGGAGCCCAGTTCTCGCACCTCCCCAGCAGGTGTACCACTTGCCTTCTTAGACACAGTTGACACCGTGGAAGCATTTGATTTGCCCTTCTACTTTCTTTGAACTCTTGTTTTCATTTAGGTACCTAGTTAAATGCTGGGTAATAAGAGTCAAACATTAAAAGAAAAAGATCATGTTCTGAGGCTATGTGACATAGAAAACAAGATAATTACTTTTCTCTTTTCCCACATTAGCTGATATCTCTGTTCCAAACAGAAATATCAAGCTTTTGTGAAATTTCGAGGAACTTTTCAATAAGCCTGGCAAAGCGAGACATTCCAGAAAACACTGAATAGAAAATAGGTGATGGAAATGCAGGGAACTCTTTTTCCATTTGGAGCTGGACTTTGGATTTGAGAGTTGCCCCGCCTCCACATGCCCAGCAGATTTTGTACTTGAAGCAGAATCTCCTGTCATCAGCGTTGCATAATCCAGAAAGCGCAGGTCTGTGAGAGGCCCTGCCACATTCTTCTGGAACAGACCCAAGCACATGAGCTCTTTCATAGTTATCCTTCAGAATTCACAGCACCAGGCAGGCCAGAAGTCTGCTAGGTCCCCTAGCCCGGGCCCCAGAGAAGTTGTAAGGCTTTTGCATGCTGAGGAAGGCACCTGTGGTCACACCTATGCCATTACCTCAGTTTCAGAAATGGCTTCGAGAGAGTTTATAATCTCTTGTAAGTGGCTTCAGGGCTTGAGTCCAGCAAGACTGGTCCAAAGAGAAGCTAAGTTTGTATTGGTGTCAGGGTATCCCTGATCACTGATGTAGCAAATGTGACCAGAGCTGTGTTTTCTGTCTCTCTAAGAAGATGGGCTGAGCAAGGGCCAGGGGAAGCCACAGGACCATCCTGGAGTGGACTGACTGGCACTCAACACCTACATTCGCAGGGCTTGCTTCAGCTTCAGGGCATGTCACACTCTGAATGGTTTATCATCAGATCCTGTCTACCTCAAGAGTTACCTTCCTTTTCCCTGGCCTCTTCATTTGAAATGTTTCAGGTTTTTTGTCATTGTTTTAATGTTACCTGAGGAAACTAGCTGCAGATTAGAGCGTTTAACAGGTTAGCAAATGAAGCCTCACCTGGAAAAATATTATCTGATAAGGAGATAACAGGTGGCACTGAGTCACCTGGGGCCATTCCCTCCAGGACCACCATCCCAAGTCCTTCAGCCCCAGCATGGGACATTACAGATGGTCATGGCAACTGTGTGTGCTGTACTTGAGGCCATCAGTTTTTCAGTGGTGAGAGCCATGGAAGTGTACAAAGTAACAGTTTATGCAAGCCTCCAGTCAGCTGTGCTCCTCCTCTTCTCTTTCTCCTTCCTGTGCGCGTGCGCGCCTGTGTGTGCATGCGCACGTGTGGGGGGGGCGCTAGGTTTTCAAGGATTAACAAAAGCCTCTGGAGAAAGTCACATGGTGGTCCTGGCAAGTTACGGGCCAAAGTGGTGCCCACACCTTGGAACTGAACCGAATGGGTCTTTCTCAGACGCCCCAGCGTTGTTTTGCAGGCTGAGATTGTTGTGCATTCCTCTTGGCCTTGCCTTTGGCACCTCAGCCTGTTTATTCCTCACCTGTGGTTGGCTCTGTAAACATGGAGGCTGCCACTCAGCTGGGGTCCAGGGCCTGAGCCTGCAGCCGCCGTCCTATGAGCTCTGATGGCAGCTATGGAGAGCTCTCCATTATTCCAATGTAGTTGTTTGTTCTGACTTTGATGGTGTCTGCACCTAGAGCAAACACCATTGCCCTGCATCCAGGTCTCTTCACACGCCGACCCCACACAGCTCTGCCTGCACTAGCAGGACCCGCCACATGCTGGGGTCTCACTGTGGCTCCATCAGACCTGGGGCAGCCATCGGGCCAGCTCAAAGGAGTTTTTAGCTGTGGTTGTTATTGGGTGAGCTTGGTAATTGGCTTTCTAAATGGCCGTGTAGAGCACACATTCCTAAAATGTGAAGAAAAAGAAGAAAAAAGTTATTCCTCTAAATTTTATTGTGCCCAAGAATTGTGTTTGTATACATATGTATTTTTTTTAACTGAAGAAGAAAAGTAATCCTTTTATATGCAATCTTTTTAACAAATTGTTTATTATTGTATCCAGGTAACAAGCATGGTAAGTATTTTCATTAAACTGAGTATTCTGTATTTTAGCTGTGCTTGGCAGACTTTTTTGGCTAGCTTTGTGTTACTAGTCTTGGCTTTTCTAGAAAAGACCCATTTAGCAAAAGGAGAAACCACCTACCTGTGTCATCCCTATGCCCTTGGCTTTTTTTAAGAAGCCTTGTAGCCTCAGACCCGTGGCGGTGATACTCGAGAACGCATGCGCCCGCCAGCATGCTGCTTGGCCCATCCCCCACCTGCCCGCTGCTTCTGAGCTGCCCCCGCCAGGTGTCTGCCAGGGCTTCCGGACAGCCGGAGCACGCTCAGATAGAGCTCCACACACTCTGTCCCCAGTCCATAAACATATCTCTCCCTCCTCTAGCATGGCCTCACCCAGCCCATTCTCCTAGTGTGTTAAGTAATTAGAGAGCTCTTCTGGAAGCTGAAAATATAAATTCATTGTCTGCTCTTCTCAGAGGCTTCCCCATTCTGTTGGAAAATGGAATAAGATAAACAAAAACAAAAAAACCTTGCCACTGGGTGTTCTTAGCAAATGTTCAGAGTTATGGTAGGTTGAGTATGTTTTAGCCTTCTGGCCGTGTTTATTTACCCATGCATGTTTGCTTTTTCGGCCTCTCTTGTGGCTCTGTATTTTAGTCCATGTGCTCGTGGCTGTGGCTGTTTATCCTGCCTGGTAGCCATGCGTTCTGTATTAAGTCAGTGTGTCACTGTCGCCTTCAAGGATCAGACTGCAAAGGACAAGGCCCTGCAGCACATGGCCGCCATGTCGTCAGCCCAAATCGTCTCTGCCACTGCCATTCACAACAAGCTGGGGCTGCCTGGGATCCCACGCCCCACCTTCCCAGGGGCGCCGGGGGTGAGTAGGAAGCAGACCCAGGACTGATGGCTGGGTAGGGTGTGGGGCTGGCTGCCGGGCAGCATCAAGCCCTCTACCTGGCACTTCCTGTCAGTTGGGTCAGGTGTGTATAAGGTTAGAACGAAAAGAAGGGAGAGAAAAGAGGGGGAAGAGGAAGGGAATAGGGAATCCTTAGTCCCTAAAGACAGGGAATTAAGCATAACTTTTCTTATTCCCTTTTGGATTGTAACCTCCTTATGCTCTTTTAACCTTTGTTTTTCCTGCATGCTTAGGTCACTTCATAGCAATTAGCCCCTAAAGAGACAAAGCATTCTATTAGTATCTTCATTTTGCCATATGCCAAGGGCTAAGAAGCATTATATTAAATCCCTTTTAATCCTCACAGTCATCTTAAATGTCTTCTACTGTTGTTGCCATTTTACAGATGAAAGAACTGAGGTTGCTTAGGGGTGAAACAGGAGCTTGGGCGGCTTGACCGTAGGCAGACTTATAGTGATGTCAGGATTTAGCTCCAGCGCTGTGACTGACTGAAAGCTGCCATTTCCCCTTTGTCTCAGCCAGCCTGTCTGGTGGGAAACAGCAGTGGGGACCAAAGGCCTCAGGGGCACTCATAGCAAATGGAGGCTTGCATTGCTTCTCTGAACTCCCAGCCCTCTTGTTCTGGTTTGTGTCCCCTGTACCCCTGGACCTTGGGTGTTGCGAACTGCCAAAGCAAAATATTATTCAGAAAGTACTTCGGAGTGGAGGGAGAGGAGGAAGAGAGGTGTGTACTTAGATGAAGCATCCCCTACCACGCACCCATTCCCTGTTAGGTGGGATGAGGACTGAAAAGCAGCTGCCTGGTCTCCTGCCTTGGGAGGATTTTCAGAGCAGAGGGGCTAAGGAGAGCCCTGGGTTGCCAGGCCAAGGGTAGGTTGTGATCTTGTGCACAGTGTGTGGTGACCATATCTGTGATTAGGGAAGATGCTGCTGCACCTGGTCGGAAATGGGAACCTGCTATCCTTCAGCAGGGGTTGCAGTGTGTACATGTCCTGAACTGTGCTTAACATATTGTTGCTTTTGCCTTCCAGTTTTGGCCTGGAATGATACAAACAGGGCAGCCAGGATCCTCACAAGAGTAAGTCTGAGGCTGATCACAGCCCACCCTGGGGGAAAGTCCTCCTTGCACCAAACTGTCAGGGCTTGGAAGAAAAAGGAGGGTTAAACAGATTCCTTCAGCAGCCCACCCCATAGTCTCCTGAGGCCAGTAGCAAGAAAGAGACTGACCTCTCAGATCCAGGAGAGGTGTGAGTGCCTCACTCCCACCTTAGCTATTGATGGTAATCCTGGGAAAAAAGGTCCCTGTCCCTTTGTGGCTTTGGAGGGCAGAGCCTGGGCTCTTCCTCACCTGACAGAGGGCAGCAGAGTGAATCCTATAGTCCTTTCCATTCTGGCTTTCCCTGTGTTAGGGGTGGCCAGTAGGAATGTCTGCAAATACTTTGGGCCAAGGGAAGCAGGCTCAGGTCCCCAGAAGAGAAAAGCAGTTCAGGAATAAAAGCAGAAAGGAAATCCTGGCTATCTATTCAAAGAACTTAAATGCCCCAGTGCAGGAGAGCCTGAAGCATGTTCTAGACCTTGCTTGGACAAAGTGTCTGCTGACCTCATTCTCTGCGGGTATGAAAAGAGGTTCAGAGGCAGATGTCACCGCTATGAAAGTCAGGCTGACGTCTGGTCCTCCTTGACCTGTACCTGGCATGAGGTGTGGGGGCTTGGTCCCCAGCAGCCTGCTGGGCTCTCTCAGTTGGAGAGAGCGACCACTTCTGTCCACAGAGCCCTCCCTGGGATGTGTCTCCCCTTGTAGGCAGGGAACAGTGCAATGAGGGATCCCCCTTGGGAGGCCAGGGCAGGCCTAGATCTTGCCTGCCCATCCATGATTTATGACTCTTGTCACCTGTTTGTCCCTAGTGTCAAGCCCTTTGTGCAGCAGGCCTACCCCATCCAGCCCGCGGTCACGGCCCCCATTCCAGGTGAGTCCTCCTAGCTTTCTTTTGGTGGGAGGTGAGTGGCCCCCATAGCTGACAGCCAGGCCTGTTTGGTTTCCAAAGTGTGAGATGCTGTCTTTGCTACAACTACACATCTCTCGCTTGGGAATCATAGCTACCCCTTCCACTCCTGCTCTCCTGAAGGGTGGCAGTAGCCTGGAGCTCAGGAAGGCCACAAGGGTGTCCTCCCACACTAGGCCTAGGTCCCCTTACTCATCTCCCAAGCGCTCTTCAGAAGGGTTTGTAGAGAAACAGGAAGGCAGATTATTTTCATTAGGGACAGTGGTCACACTTAGAAGGGGAAGTTGCGGTTGCTTTCTCAACTGAATTAGGCAATCTTGAGTCGTGAGCACAGATGTGGTTGTACTCTCCTTTACTTAGATAAGTAGATTCCCCTTCTAGGGCCCTTTCTGCAAAGGAGCACTTAGATGGAAGCCCAAAATAGAAATCAGGCGTCTGGTGGACCCACCTGCCTCCTGCCCCACCAGACACCCGCACCCCCACCATACCACGTATGCATGGTCACTCAGGTGACCTGCTTGGAGTCCACTGCTGTCCACTGTGGAGGCCCCAAATGAAAAATATCCTCACAGGTTGCACTCTGCTCCCAAGGTCTGGAGCCTTCCGTGAAAATATTGTATAGTTCTGGTGACTACAGTCATAAGGTGGACAAGTACAAGAAGCTCATGGCATGCTTCATCTCACAGGCCTTTGGAAGCTTCCCTCTGCCTCTTCAACCATTCTCAGCTTGGTCCTTCACTGGGCTCCTTTGACCAGGATTAAATGTCCTCCCACTACTGCCCTTAAGCTTGGCTGCACTTGGCTTCATGAGGAGCTTGTGCACCGCGCTTGTCCAGCCGGACCCTGTCTCAGGAAGCCTCGGCCAGAGGTCACCACTGCCTGGCCGGTTCCTCCTTAGATGCTTCTGGAGGGGCTCTTGGCCTTCCCTTTGAGATCATCCGTTTCAGGCCACCCTGCCCCAGCCCTGGCCCAAGGCCTGGGGGTGACAGTGGCCAGATGTAAAGGTGACATTGGTTTTTCAGGGTTTGAGCCTCCGTCCGCCCCAGCTCCCTCTGTCCCTGCCTGGCAGGGCCGCTCCATTGGCACAACCAAGCTTCGCCTGGTGGAATTCTCAGCTTTCCTCGAACAGCAGCGAGACCCAGACTCGGTGAGTGTGCCCAGCGATGTGTGCTCATCCAGGATTTCTTTCCTGCTTCTGCTTACCTTGTCATGGCCCCCATCTTTCATCCGTACCCTGCCCTGGTTTCCTGACAGAGCCCCATGTGGAAGCAGACTGGGGCAGCCGAGCAGCCTCTGTGCTGGGAGAAGGAAGGGCATTCCTCCCAGCGAGTGTGGAGAGCCTCGGGGCTGCTGGGGCATTGCGGCTCACAGCACGCACTCCAGGGAGGGCTTAGGCCAGAGGGAGGCCCTCGATCCACTGTTGCCCAGCAGTGCAAGGCCTTGGGTTCCATCCCCAGCACTGCAAGAAAACAAATTAATAGCAGGTAACATTGATTGAGTCTTCCTCTGTGGCTGGTCCTGTGCAAGAGTATTCAGATATCTGATCCCATTTTTATGGATCACAGAAAACCTGTGAGCATAGCTACATCTGATGGACGAGGAAATGGACAGGTTAATAATTTTCCCCAAGTCACATGTTTAAATCTAATGGATTGAAGATTCAGACTTAAATCTTTAAAACTCGAAAGCCTAAACAATCAGCTATTAATTCTGTTCTGCTTTTCCAAATCTGTGTTTTCTCAAAATAGCAAGTTGTTATCTTAAGGCGAAGTAACAAAGTGGTACTTTAACAGCTTAACATAGAATGCAAAGCGTTATAATATCATAAATACCACTAACACTGGCATCTGGACTCTTATTTGTCATTTTCTTCTTTCCCTTCTCCCCCACCCCATCTTGTACTTATTGTCCCATACATATGTGATTCTCCCTTCCTTCCCACCCCATAAGCCCCGTACCCTTTCTTCACACCCACTCCTTGGCTGTGCATGTGAGCATTGCATCTGTGTGTGGGTGAGCCCAAGGAGAAGATCGGAGGAATCATGAGTTTGTCTCTGGGATCCTCACCAGCTCCTTTCCGCATTCCTCCTTTCCCCATCCTGCCCATCGCAGGTTATGAACGGCACAGAGGTCCCAGCTTTGCTGTGTGTTGCCAGCCTTCCTGTCATCTCGCTATCAGGAGAAGGTGTCGTGTACATGTTCACAGCCTGTTGGAAATAAACGAGATACCGAGCAAGTGGAGGTCACCTCTGCGGGGGCTTTGCACTCCGGCTCTGTGGGAGGCCTCCTGTGGGGGTGATGGAGGAGAGGCCTGGCTGGAAGGGCTTCACCAGCCATCACTGCAGTGGAGAGAGGGCGCCCATGCATGGCCCACAGACCTCCCTGCCTGGCAGTTGTGACCTCGGGTAGCCAGTGGGAAACAAGAGCTGATTCTGAGTCAGTGGTAAACAAAGAAAATGATGTAAAGTATGTCACTGGGCCCGTCAGGGCAGGCACAGGGAAATGAAGTTGTTGAGACCAAGGGGCATCAGCTGCCTCCGGTAGCTGACTGCTCTTACAAGGGAGCCATGCTGGCGGGTTAGGATTTGTATATGCAGGGGTGAACACTAAAAGAGCCTTCGGGTTTGTGGCCTTCCTGTTCTGAGAAATGGGCTCTTTGGTGGAGGCTGCAAGTCCTGTTTGTAGAGCACTTCATTGTTTACAGAGCACTTTGTTGATTATTCCACTGTGTCCTCAGAGTGCACCGTGAGATAGGTTCTGCTTTGCTCATTTTACAAATGAAGAAACTGAGGCCCAGGTACCCTGAGTTACACTCAGGATATTTACCTCGTAAACAGAGGAGTCTGGAGTCTAAATCTTCCTTCTTTCTGTCTTTCTTTCCCTTATCTTTTTCTTTTCCTTTGTCCTTCCTCTCTCTCTCCCTCTTTTCCTTCTCCCTGAGGACTGGACTCAGCACTATAATACACACTAGACTAGCACTCCAGTCCCAAACCTTCTATTTCATTGTACTCTTTTCTCTGCTGTTAAACACTGCTTCCCAGTTGCCAAGTTCTCTTGAATTGCTTGTTCTGTCTCTGTGAAGGCAAACCTCTCCCTCTGAATGTGGCCCCTTTACAGGGACGCACCTTCAAGGTGCTGGGAGACAACCCCCCTCCCCCCAGATTATTTTTATTGCCCTGGTTTAAAAACGGGACTGTTTTATCACCAACTGTAGTAGCCCCCTTACAGTTGCTGTGGTCTCTGGTTATGGATCTGTCAGAGACCGCAATGCTGCTCTTTTGTTCCTATTTTTTGTTGGGCTTAACATTTTGAGTCAGTGGCAGATTCAGTCCATTTTGTAAACATTTACGTGCTTGTGTGCAGGTGACAGGGGCTGGGGAGAAGAGGGCCCTGCTCTGCCCCAGCAGAATGTGACATCCACAGAGAGGGAGACAGGAAATCCCTGTGGTGTGGGCGACTGTTAGGAAGGAGGAGTACCGAGTGCTGTGAACATGAGGCAGTGGTCAGGGCAGGCTTGCTGGGAGGAGTAAAGGACAGGGAAGGTAAGGCCGATGAACATTCCACAGCAGTGAAACCAGAGTGTCTGGAGCAACAAATGAAATGGTGAGTATTTGTTTAGCAAAGCCAGACCTACCAGAGTCCCAGAGTAGAGTCTAGAGATACTTTTCAATGCTCCAGTGGCACAATCGGTTAGCGGGTGGTACTTATACAGAGATACATTTCACGTGTGTCAGGAAGACAGCTCTGTAATCTGAATGATCTCACTGATTCGGCCTTTTACTATTGAAATCAAAGCAGGGCTCCATAGACTGGACCCCAACACTTGAGTTAGAGGGCCCTAAAATGAAAATCAGCACCCATGGGCCCTTTGAGGAAGTAACGATTCTATTTTAAGGGTGCTCATTTGGGAATTGAGCGACACGGGAACCTTTTGAACAACCAGCCTCTGCTTCAGATGTTAGGAATTCAGCAAAGGAAACGAAATTCTTCCTCTCAGGGAGCTCACACTTTTGGAGAAGACAAAGCAACCACCACACAAATATAAATATACATATACTTAACTACATAGGTATTATGGTCCCTCAGTGTCTGTGGGCCACAGGAAATGCATGGGTGTTCAAGTCCCTTATGTGCAGTGGAGTAGTAACTGTGCTTTTCTTCCTCCATACATTAAATCATCTCTATGAGGTATGACAGAAAAATACAGCAAGTGCTTAAATTTTTTAAAAAATGTATTACAGTAAAAGAGACATTGTCATTAACTCATAATATTCCCCCTCACCTTAAATACATTTATCCCATTGTTCTTGCCACTTTCTGAAGCAGTTTCAGAAGTTCCCTTTTGTGAGTCTCTTTAGTTACATTGTCGTGGTTCTCTTGATGTTCTGAATCAATTCAAAAAGTTAACGATTCATGGTTATTTCGACTTGAAGGAAGAGCCAGAAATCTCATGGCGCCATATCCAGTGAGTAATGTGGATGAGGACACAGCATAATGTTTTTATAAGTGTGCCTCATTTTTTATCACATCTTGTAATCATACTCATGTAAGAGGACTTCCTGAGAGGAGTGTTTTGAGGGGCATTACTGGCAATGTGTCTTTTACTGTAATAAATGTTTAAAAATGTAAATGTTCACCATATTTTGATCAAACCTCATATATGACTTATAATACCTAATATATCTAAATGCTATGTAAGTAGTTATTCTACTATATTGTTCAGGGAATTATAACAAACAAAAGTCTGTACATGCATAGTATAGAGGCAACCAGGGTGGGGGTACTTTTGATCCACAGTTAATTAAATGGAAGACAACCAATAGATAGAATCCATGGAGAGAGTCTGTGGATTCAGAGGGCTAGCTCACTACAGTATGCCAAGGGATGCTTAGTGCTGCTATGGAATAACAACCCTTCACAAGTGAAAGAAAGTTACTTGCCCCTTAAATTAAAAATGTATAATTTCAGAAAATAGTTACACCTCTAATATATATGTTAATGTTTCTGACTTGTATTATGATGTTTAATTAGATCTATCAGATGTTGCCAACCAGTGTTGGCTGTAAAGTTATGTTGCTATAGCCTCAGTCTCGATTTTTTTTTTTTTTTTTGCCATACCAGGAAACAAACTCAGGACCTTGTGCTTGCAAGGCAGGTGCAGCACCATTGAGCTAAGTCCCTGGCTCATCAGTCTCAATTTTTGATATCACTTCTAAAGTTCCTATGTTACGAACACTGGTTTTGCAACTAAACATCAGCAAGCCAAGTGTGTACCAAAGAATACATGGCAGGTTGGAAATAGAATATATATTTGATTTTAGTACCCATGTGAGAATCTAAAGGATGATTTTTGTACTAGAGGAGAAAAAATTGTGATTGACTAATTGAAAGGGGGGAGAATTAACTTAAAATTATTTAAAGCATTTGACAATATCTCAAGCACCTGCCTCTCAAATCACATAACATGCTCTTTACTGGGCAAACACCCAGTGCTGTCACAATAAAGGTGTGGTGGTACTTCAGGAAAAATTTGAAACACGTGGGTGGCTTTTTTGTGTAACTTCCTGAACATTAATCTTACAATTATTTTTCTTCCAACAATGGGCAAGTTAAAGCCACCTAAAATATTCATTGGGTATATTTTAATACACTTGGATATACTGTGGTTAAGATTTAACATCAAACATTAAGCATAATGATTTGATAAAGAAGCCAACAAAATAACCAATAATGAAAGGATCCCTAAACAAATTAAGCTTTGCATTTAAATTATGTAAATCTTTGCTCCATACAGACAAGTGCATACATTTCTACCCCAGTTCTCCATAATGGCTTAGGCTCATTGGAATCATGGGGTCATAAGATATTTTTAGAGCGAGAAGAGAATAGGCAGGACAAACACAAACAAATGAAGTGGCCAGGTGCAATTCGGTCTTTCCGCAGCGATTGCTTTAATCCTTCCCACAGCTCTGTGAGGCAGGGAGTTGAATTCCTTTCTTCGAAGGAGGCTTGGAGAGACTTCTGACTTATACTGTGGCTCCAGCCAGCTTTGACCCCCCGGACACTTTCCCAAAAGGAGAGCAGTGGTGATTGCACACCTTGGTAGCAAGCCCACGTGCCTCCCTTGCCTCCTCCTCAGCCTGGGGC